GAGAGAGAGAGAGAGAGAGAGAGAGAGAGAGAGTGTGTGTGTGTGTATAGGTGCGTTGTGTGTAGTAGGCAATTGCTGTATCAAATGTATCTCGTTCGCCTCGTGAAGGGCGGAAGGTGCATCGCTGGCCTCTTTGGGGGATAAGCAGGCTTGGCAGGGCCGCGGGCAAGGCGAGGCGATGCGTCAGTGCGGGCGGGCGCAACTTCCCCAACCCTCACACCTCCGCATTTGTCTGTGAGAAGTCGCGACTTGGAGACACACGCCACACACACACACACACACACACACACACACACACACACACACACACACACACACACACACACACACACACACACACACACACACACACACAACACAAACACACAAACACACACACACGCACAACATAGACGCTGCACCCACACACGCTGCACATATAGCTATGGCAGGCACAGTCGAGGACAGTAAGTGCTTCTTTCCTTTTCCTTTCCTTTGCCTTCACTTTCACGCTCACCTTCACCTTCACCTTCACCTTCACCTTCCCATCTCTCCACCTCTCCCAACGTCTTTCTTCCCTTTGATGTTGCAAACATCCACATGCACCACCACCATGTCGGCGCACAAGAACGTGGCCTTGCTCCGCAGCGTCGTGGGTTATCCCACTTCCCCCGCCACCTCGCCTACGCTCACACCTGTACCTCTTCCGCCCTCTCGTACTCTTTCGTCCCCAGAGGTTTCCCTACTCAGGCTGTCGCTCAAGACTAACCAGAATCCCTCCTCGCCAGCAAAACGCAAGGCCACCACCGACCCTCCCAATGGCTCTCCCAAGCGCGTCAAACAGTCGCCTAGCTCTACACCTCCAGTCGTTCCCGCTCCCGACGAGGCCTCGGCTTCGACGTCGGCTCCCGCTCCCGCTGTCAAACGGATAGTACCCTTTCCAGAGAAGCCTGCCGTCATCGAGGAGCGAAATGGCGAAATCGAGTTTCGCGTGGTCAACAATGACGGGAGGAGAGAGAGCACAATCATCTTGACGGGCCTCAAGTGCATCTTCCAGAAACAGTTGCCGAAGATGCCCAAGGACTACATTGCTCGGCTGGTCTACGACCGGACCCATCTGAGCATAGCTATTGTCAAGAAGCCCTTGGAAGTAGTAGGGTTCGTCACTCCCATGCCTTTGAGAAATAAGAAATTCCAAATCATCCAAGCCTGGCTAACATGAAGAGACAGTGGAATCACCTACCGCCCCTTTGACAAAGGTCAATTCGCCGAAATCGTCTTTTGCGCTATCTCGTCGGACCAACAAGTCAAGGGCTACGGCGCCCACCTCATGTCCCACCTCAAAGACTACGTCAAAGCCACCTCCCAAGTCATGCACTTCCTCACCTACGCCGACAACTATGCTATTGGATATTTCAAAAAGCAAGGCTTCACCAAAGAAATCACGCTCGAAAAGTCGCGCTGGATGGGCTACATCAAAGACTACGAAGGCGGCACCATTATGCAATGTAGCATGGTACCCAAGATCCGCTACTTGGAAAGCGGCCGCATGCTGCTCAAGCAAAAGGAATGCGCAAACGCCAAGATCCGCGCGGTGAGCAAAAGCTACGAAATACACCCCCCACCCGCCCAATGGGCCAAAGGCGACGTCAAACCCATTGACCCCTTGACCATTCCCGCCATCAAAAACAGCGGCTGGTCCCCCGTCATGGACGAATTGGCCCGTGCACCCCGCCACGGTCCCAACTACAACGCCCTCCTCCATCTCCTCAACGACATGCAAAACAACAGCAACGCCTGGCCGTTCCAACAACCTGTCAACAAGGACGAGGTCCTCGACTACTACGACGTCATCAAGGAGCCCATGGACCTCGCCACCATGGAAGAAAAGCACGAAAAGGATCTCTACCCTACGCCAGAGGATTTCATAAGAGATGCCAAGCTCATCTTTGACAACTGCAGAAAATACAACAACGAGAGCACGCCGTACGCCAAGGCTGCGACGCGCATGGAAAAGTACATGTGGCAGCGCATCAGAGAGATTCCAGAGTGGTCGGTGAGTCTGATTTGGGGTTCCTCTTTGATAGAAGGGAGAAGCTAACGGTTTTACAGCATCTCGAAGGTGAAATCACTGGCAAATGAGCTACTTGCATAACGCCTACTACCTGCCGCCCCACCTCTGCTCCTACTCTCTGTCTCCACTTTTCATCGCAATCACATATCTTGCTATCAAGAGTTGTCTCCATTGTCTTTCTTTTTGCCCTGTGGCTAACCTGAAGTTCCTCGGGCCTCATGTCGTAACGCACACCCCCACATGTTTATTCTGTCTTTGGCGGCATTTTCGTAACGGCGTCCAAGGATTTGTTGTTTTTTGGGGGATCAAAAGCTTGCACGGTAGTCTCTTCGTTATACCCCTATTTCCACTTGTTTTCCTATTCCCTAACCAGCGTGGGAGTTTTGGGTTTGTGTGTGCGTCTGGCTTTGGTATGTTGAGCGGGTTGGCAGTTGGAGGTTGCAGCAGAATGGCCTGTGTCTTATTGTGATGTGTGATGCATGATGGAGGGAGGGAGAAGGATGGGCTCGTATATGTGGACGTTTAGGTGTATGTGTACGTGTACGTGTACGGAAGTATCTTGTTGCTTGGATGAATATGTGCAATCGAGTCTTTTTTTTCTCTCGACTACCATCGACTACCATTTTTCACTGCGGTTGGGTGGGTTAGAGGGGCGATTGGATCCTTGTACAAGTTGTGCGTAGACGGATGGTTGGTTGCATTCTACAACATTCCCATTTTGTGTTCGTCATCCGGACTCTACCTTGGCACAGTCGTATGCATACTACCGACCTGTTGGTCTGGAATCACACGAGCAGCTTCCGCTTGGAGCGGGCGAGAGTGTGCGGAGTGCGGGGAAGGAGGGGGTGGAGTGGAGTGGAGTGGAGTGGAGTGGAGTGGAGTGGAGTGGGTACTGTGCTGTAGAGAGTACTTGCTGTACTTGTACTTGTTCTACTGTAGTGTTCGTATGCCATCAAATACTCGATGCTATGCCGGTACGCAAGGAAAAAGCCAACCCTCCTCGTTTCTTCTCCACTGCACCTCACCTCCCCTTTCTCGAACATGCACCGGCTGGCATGTGGCCTGCCAGCCAAGCTACCTACCATCTACCGGCACATGCGCCCACACCCACGGCAACCACACCCATGCCAGCCCAGCGCTCGGCACGTGTCAGACATTAGCTATCTACGCCCCGAGAGTACGGCGCAGGCGAGTTCCGCCCCTGCTGTCCGTGTTGTGTGTGTGTGTGTGTGTGTGTGTGTGTATCTGGATGTATGTAGCGGTAGACGGTAGGCTGTCTTGTGGTGCATGGCATCCCCGCTCCGAGGGATTGTTTGTGTGGCGGAAGCGAGTGCGCTTGGGGAGATGGACGGGGACCTGGTAATTGGATTTTGGGGGGATGGGGTTGTGGGGTTGTGGTCATGGTAAGAGGAATTGGCTGGTTCTTTTTTAGAGGATCTAGTGAGGTGGTACTAGGTAGGTATAACTACCGGTAGAGAGTAACTATGGTACTGCTTGTGTGATGATAGCTGCTTGTTGGGTAGATGGCCATGCACATTCCGTAGCAGCAGCCATGAATGCCCCAGTCTGTCTCGCCCTCGTGTGTATGTGCTGGGCCAAGTGTACGACTTCCTACTCTACCTGTCTACCTCGTGATACCTGATACCACCATCCAACTCTCTTCTCCTACTCGTTGGCCAGACGTCGGCCTGTTCTTTGGACCCGGGCCAGCCGATTCCCAAACAAGAGCGTCAACCGAGGCGGGGGCGCAGAGTGGCGGCTGCTTATCGGGGCTGGAAGCGGCTAGGGCAGGCCGTTGGGTGCGGCAAACCACCTCGCGTGCTTCCTGACAGTACTATTACTACTCTACGACTGTGTGGAGACTGTCCAGACTGGGGAATAGATAAGAAGGCCGGTTGGGAAGGGCAAGGACCGCGGAATGGCCGTCTGGAGCGGGTGAAATCGATGCCATACAGTACCTGTTTCTACCACACTATCTGACCATCTCGGTCCTGCTCGCCCAAAAGCCCCCCCCAACGCTTGACAGGCAACCCAAAGACGTGCTCGAGAAGACGGAGATGACCGTAGTAGTAGTAGGCCAGTCGAGAGCCTTCGTGCTACCCGCCCCTTGACCAGGACCGAAGAGGAAGTTGTCTACGGTTCTCTCTCGTCGACGGTGGCCAACGGCTCGAGGGCAAAACCCCTCCCACTTTGGGTCCTAGCGTGATCCACGCTTGCGAAAATATAATCCCACCCTGTCCGGCCATCCTCGATTTCCCCATCGCGACCACAAATCCGACTCTCGTCCAGCTCGTCTTTTGCCCTGACAGTCAAGTCGGAATTGCCCTCGTGCTCCGTGCTTGGAGTCTGGAGTCTTGTGCTTTTGTGCTTTGTTGTGCTGCCTTGCTCGTCCCACTGGCAATCATGGCTGACGTCCGCGACCACAACAGCTCGCCCATGCCGGGTGTCGCTCGCAACCCGGATCCGGCCCTGGACATTTCGCGAGAACATGAGCATCAGCACGTGCATCACAGTGCGCGGGCAGCCCACCCAGACAACATAGTCTACACCACGGGCACGACCGAGGATCGCAGCCATGTGCCCAACCCCACCGCCCTGGACAGCCATCTTCACTTTCGTCGCCAGTCGGATGAGAAGCAGGCCCAGCCGGATCTGGAAAAGGATCTGGAAAAGGCGGGCGGGTATGACTACGAGGTGGAAAAGGCGACGAATAGCTCGGGAGAGCATATTTCGAGGAACCATGAGCCCGAGGCAGAGAAGAAGCCGTGGTATTCTCCTTCGGTGCTGTATAGAAACTACCGCTTGCCAGCCCATCTGCTCATTGCAGCCTTCTTCACTGGGTAAGGCAGATCCAATGTTCTGGCAATTTGATTCTTCTTTTCTTCTTTTTTCTTCTTTCATTCTTTCATTCGCCCTTTTTCCAGGCGATCAAGTTACTGACCAAAGGCCATAGATGGTGGATTGCCAGCTTGGTCCTACATCGCCACGACAAGAACTGGGTCATTCCATTCTTGCTCTATCTTGCCATCATGCTCCGTATCATCACCCTTCATGTGCCCGTCACCCTCGTCACCAAGCCCATGCACTGGGTCTGGAACCAGACGGGAGTCCGTCTTGCCAATCTGATTCCAGAGAAGATGCGTGTGCCTGCCGGTGCCGCCCTTACCATTGCTGTCATCATCATTGGCTCCTTTGTCAGTGAAGAGAGCGAGGACAACACGCGGGCCAACCGAGCCGTCTCCTTGTTCGGCCTGCTCGTCTTCATCTTCGGCTTCTGGGCCACGTCGAAGAACCGCAGCAAGATTGTCTGGCACACCGTCATCGTTGGTATGCTGATGCAGTTCATCATCGCCCTCTTCGTCCTCCGTACCGGCGTCGGCTATGACATCTTCAACTTCATCTCCGAGCTCGCCCGCCTGCTGCTGGGCTTCGCAAAGGACGGTGTCACCTTCCTGACCGACGACAAGGTGCCCAACCTGCCCTGGTTCTTCGTCAGCGTCATCCCCGCCATCATCTTCTTCGTCTCCTTTGTCCAGCTGCTGTACTACTGGGGCATCCTTCAGTGGTTCATTGGCAAGTTCGCCGTCTTCTTCTTCTGGGCCATGCGCGTGTCCGGTGCCGAGGCCGTCGTCGCATCCGCCTCTCCCTTTATCGGCCAGGGTGAATCCGCCATGTTGATCAGGCCGTTTGTTCCCCATCTCACCATGGCTGAAATGCACCAAGTCATGTGCTCTGGTTTCGCGACGATTGCCGGTAGCGTCTTGGTCGCCTACATTGCCATGGGTCTCAACTCCCAGGCCCTCATCTCCTCGTGCGTCATGAGTATCCCGGCCTCGCTCGCCTTCAGCAAGCTCCGCTACCCCGAAACCGAGGAGACCCTGACGGCCGGCCGCGTCGTCGTGCCTGATGACGATGAACACAAGGCCGCCAACGCCCTCCACGCCTTTGCCAACGGCGCCTGGCTCGGTCTCAAGATCGCCGGCATGATTGTCTCCACCTTGCTCTGCATCATCGCCCTCCTCAACATGGTCGACGGCATCCTGACCTGGTGGGGCCGGTACCTCAACCTCGACGGCGAATACGACCTCACGCTCGAGCTCATCCTCGGCTACATCTTCTACCCCGTCGCCTTTTTGCTCGGCGTCTCGCGCGAGGGCAAAGACCTGCTCCTCGTCGGCCGCCTCATCGGCATCAAGGTCATCACCAACGAATTCGTCGCCTTTGCCCAGCTCGTCGCCCAAGACGACCCAGACTCGGAATACCACTCCCTGTCCCCGCGCTCGCGCGTCATCGCCACCTACGCCCTCTGCGGCTTCGGCAACATTGGCAGTCTGGGCACCCAGATTGGTGTGCTCAGCCAGATTAGCCCCGGTCGCAGCGGCGACGTCTCGAGACTGGCCATGTCGGCCCTTATCTCTGGCGTGTTTTCGACGCTGTCGAGTGCCGGTGTGGCTGGGTTGGTGATTGTAGATCAGGGCCGGTTCACGAATACGACACCCGCATAGGGGCTGGGATTGTTGGTGTGAGGGGAATGTTGGGTCATGACTGTTTTGCTTTGCTTTTTGTTTTGGCTTTGGCTTGGGATGGGTGTGCAGCGGCCAGGGAAAAGATGCAGCCTTTTTTTTTTTGGCTTTTCTTTCCTGTACATGGTGTGAGGAAAGATACCCGAGATTTATACATTTTTATTTTTTTCAGAATAACGTTGTGCACTTATTACGTCTGGTTTTTTTTCTGTGAGGGGGGGTTTTTTTTTCAACTCCTCAGCTTAATGCGTGCATGGTTGTACTGTTCCCCTCACTCTCTACCCATAACTACCCAACAGATGCATGCGCAAGTGCCAAACTCGCCCCGGTCCATTCCAACCTCGACCACAAAAACCCCCCTGTTTCTTCAACACGCGTCGCGTTTTCGTTTTCGCTCGCTGGGCCGATGGCAGGCGGGGGCTCGGGGGAGGGGATTGGGGGTTCGAGATTGACGACGTGTATATCGTGTTTGGTGGTTGGATTGGATTTTGGGTGGTTGGGTGTGGTGTTGGGGAGGTGTACCGTAGTGGTGTAATGTGTGGGTACTGGGACTTTTTCCTTTTTCTTTTCCTTTTCCGATTCGTTTTCGGTTTCGTTTTCGTCCTCTTCTGTTTGTGCTGGATGATGGGATGGGGTTTTCATGGTTGGGTTTTTGGCCAAAGCCTGCTCCGAGCTTGCCGTTACTGACCTGAAATCCCCCTTCCCTTCCTCTTAAACCACTA